GCTCCCCGAGCCGGCGACGCAGCTGTCCGCCCCCTGTCCCGCCCCTCAGCGCCCCCGGCCTCGCATCTCCAGCCGGCCCTCGCCCCCACCCACTCAGCCACCACCCGCGCCCCTCCCAGCCCCCCGGTGCCCGCGGGTCCCGGACGCACAGCCCCGGCTGACTCAATGCAAACAAAGCCTGGCCGGCGCCCGCCGGTGTCGGGAAACAGCTGGTGCGCGGCGCAGCGGCCTCGCTGGGCCCGGTGGATGCCCGCGGCTGGGGAAGGCCCAGGTCTTCCTGGGAACAAGCAGAGTGGCAGGCAGCGCGTAGCCTGGCAAGGGGATCTGTCCCCAGGCCTTTGGAGCCCACCTGCCCCGCCGGGGACCGCTCCAGGGAGCTTCTCCTAAGAAGCCCTACTGAGGGAGAGGCTGTGATTGCTGTGTTTTCTGTTCTCTGCTTCAGGGATGGGGATCCTTAGGATTGCCCTTGATCAGCTGGTGAGGGACCAGAGGAGACCCTTCAGCCTAGTCCATGCTTGCAACTCCCGGAGCCCACAAGTGGTCCAGCGGCCGCCCCCTTGTCCTCACCACACATCACCTGGCCCAGCAAGGCTACTTCCCAGCCCACTTTCCCCTCCTTGTTTCTCGAAAGAGGCCACTCTGGCCACAGAGGTGCCCGGCCCTGACTCCCTGGGTCCTCTGCTTTCAAGGCACTCAGGACCTGCTGCCATCTGGGACCTTCCTGTTCCCCGACTCCCACCCGGCTGCTCTCCAGGGCTCTCTCTTACTGTGGGCAGTCAGGGTGGGGTCGAGAAAGCATAGCCAGCTGGCCACAGCCCCAGAGGCCAGACTCTGCTCCCCCACTCTTGTCCCCACCCCAGGAGAGTCAGGTGCCTGGCAGATGCCCATGGCCTCTGGAGAGTCCAGCCCTAGCTGAGAGGCACTTGATAAAAACCAGACCTCGCTTCTCTCCATTCCCTATGGTTGTTGGATAGCTCTGGAGCGTGGCTTTCTCAGGATGGAGCTTTAGGTCTGTGGGTGGCAGGGAACATGGCCAGTTGGCCAGCCCCTCAGTGTGGGGCCACAGGGAGGAGAAAAAGGGAGGGAGGGAGGCTCCCATGTTTACCTGCCTGGGAGGAAACACCTTGTTGGAGGAATGTGCTGTGGGCTTGGCAGCTGGGGTCCTTTCCCAGGCCCAGAGGATTGGGAGTGGCCTAGACTCCCACCTGCTCAGGCCCTTCCCCCAAAACGCTGCGTCCCTCTGACTTTCCCTGGCTGTAGCCTGTGACGGGCTACCCGAGATGGTACTGTTTCATTTTCCAGTGAGTAGACTTGTAATAGGACATGAAATAGGCTGGAGACCAGCCCGGACCTCCTTCTGGAGGGCACTGGGGTCCTGCAGGTAGGAGGGGGCCTCAGTGACTGAAATCTTAGACTCTGTGTAGTGATCTGGCTTGGGCAGCTCAGGTGCCCAGATACTCGATGGTCATCACAAACCTGTCCCCAAGAAGATTCAGGCCAGCTGTCCCTGGATGACATCTGGTCTCAGGCCCTTACAGGCTGTGCTTTGGGCAGCAGACAAGCAGACCCTGCCCTCTTTCCTGAGGTCTGGGCCTGGCTGCTGGGCCTTCCTTGCCTTCCTGCCCTGTATCCTGTTTTCTTCCTGCCCCACCGTCCAGCCCTGGGCCAGGCCTGACCTGGTGGGTGGAGCCCGAGAGGGACATTCCCAGACCTGGGACCCACTCCCAGATCCCACCTGTGTGGAATTCTCTGCTGTAAACCAGATGAGACCTGGCAGGTGCATGTTTACACATGTGCACATGTACGTGTAAGGAAATACACGGTGACACAGTCTCTTAGCACAGGCTTAGCAGGCTAGAGCTCTGCTGATCCTTCCTCTCCCCCCTCTGCAGGGAGTCAAAAGATGCAGCTGCAGCTGGTCCCCTGGGTCTGAGTGGGGTCTGGCCTGGACAGGGGCCTGGCAAAGCTGGGGTAGCAATGACACCCCACCCCTCATGGGTATCTCAGTCTCTGTGCTCTCCGAAGCAGAGGCCTGCCCACCTCCAGTAAAAATACTCCTTTTGAAGAAACTAGCTTAGATTTTATTTATTTATTTTTATTTTTTGAGTTGGAGTCTCACTCTGTCACCCAGACTGGAGTGCAGTGGCCGCTCCCGGCCACCGCAGCCTCGACCTGCTGGGCTCCGGCGATCCTTCCGCCTCAGCCTTCGAAGTAGCTGGAATTATAGGCATGCGCTACCACGCCCGGCTGATTTTTTGATTTGTTGTAGAGATGAGGTCTTGCTGCCCAGGCAGGTCTCGAACCCGAGGGCTCAGGCAATCTACTCACCTCAGCCTCCCAAAGGCACGGGGTTACAGGCTGAGCCACCGAGCCCGGCTCTAGCTTAGATTTTAGAAGTTTCCTTGGGTTGAGTGGAGGCCAGCTGGGGTCACTGAGGCAGGAGCTGAACCATGTCCCTCCCATCGGAAACCTAAGGGTCCCAGTGACCCTGGTTAATGTCTGTAACATCAGCCTGTCCTGGTGTGGTCAGGTCGTGGTCACCAAATCCAAATATCTAAGCCACAGTGGGACCAGGAGAGAAGTCCCAAGCGGAGGAAAGAGGGAGGCAAAAGTCTGCTTCTTCTGGTTCTTGAAGTTCAAAACTGACTTCCATAGCTGGGAGCTTCCTCTGCTTCCAGAATGGGCTGCCCTGTGGTCTCCTACGGCTCTCTCCTCATTTTTATGGTTTTGTTTTGAGAAAGCAGGATTTATTAAGAGGACAGAAAAGCTCCCACAGTGGGAGGGGACCCGAAGGGGTTGCCCTCTCTCCTCATTTTGAATTCAGTCCCCAAGTGATGCTTGCCTGATGCATTAGGTCAGAGGTCACATCCATTTGGTGCTCAGATGAGTTCCTGCCCCTTTAAGAGGGCATTAGCTGCTTGGGAGGTGGGAAGTCAGAGATGGCAGCTTCTCAGATGTGCTCACAGATGGCAGGAGCTCTGCCCGTTTTCTGAGATGTCCTTCCTTACCTCACTCTGTCCCCGGGCCACCCGGACTGGGGTGCCAAGCCCTGCACCCCAGTGAGTGTCAGAGGGCTGTCCTGGCTGAGGGCATGAGGGCCAGCAAACCCCCGGCCCAGGGCCCCTCCTTTGGCCTTTGTTCCTCTCCCCCAACTAACTCGCTCTACCAGTTCTGGGACTCAGCGGTCCTCAAGCCAGGCCTGTCCTGAGGGCCATGGCCACAGTTCCCTGGAGCTCCCCGGAGTGGAGTCGGGGGTGGGTATGACCAGACTTTGGTGAGGTGTGTGACCCCACCTCTGAGTCTGGAAAGTTCCACTGTTGCTCAGCCCTACGCAGGCACTGGGTTGAAGGGTCTCTAGGACTGAGCATGGCTTCAGCTGAACAGATAATTGACTGAGCATCTGCTGCATGCCTCAACTGGAAGGTCAAGAGGAAGGGCTTATGCCAGGTGGGGGCTCAAGGCTCCCCTGTAGAAGCAAGCTCATCAGTCCCGGGCTCTGGGGGACTTCCTGGAAGAAGTGGCTTCAGAGAACAGATTTTTGAAAATAGGATATATACATTTTTTCTGATGATAAGAGTAATGTGTATGAAGTACAGACTTGTGGTGGTAGCAGGGTCCTTGGACTTTTTTATCAGCCTTAGGATTTCAGAGCAGGGAAGAGGCTTCCTGAAGCAACCGAGAAAGGCATGGATATTCAGAGGGAGTCTTAAAGGGATGGGTTTGAGGAAAGGTAAGCATGGCTTGGATACTCTGGTCCTCAACAGATGAGTCTCCAAAAGGAAAAAATAGGTCAGGTGCAGTGGCTCTTGCCTCTAATCCCTGCACTTTGGGAGGCCAAAGTGGGAGGAGCGTTTGAGCCCAGGAGTTGAAAGTTAAGTGAGCTATGATTGTCATCCCACTATGCTCCAGCCTGGGCAATAGAGTGAGACACTGCTTCTAAAAGAAAAAAATATAGCAATATGTGCTCTTACAGAAAAATACAAAGCTACCCAGAGAGATAGCTATTTAACTTTCTGGTTCATTTTCTTCTAATCTTTTATTAATATATAATTTAACACAAAACTGTGGTCATCTTATAGGTAGTTCTGTATCTTATCTTTTTTCACATAACATCGTGAGCATTTTCCATTTGTTAATAGTCTTTGAAAAATGTGATTTAATGGTCACATAGTTTTCCACTGTATGGATGTGCCTTAATTTTTATTTATTTGTTTTTTATTTAATTTTTGAGTTGGAATCTCACTCTGTTGTTCAGGCTGGAGTACAATGGCATGCTCATGGCCACCGACCGCAGCCTCCACCTACTGGGCTCAGGTGATCCTTTCGCTTCAGTCTTCCAAGCAGCTGGAACTACAGGCACACGCCATCACACCTGGCTAATTTTTTTTTTTTTTTTTTTGAGTTGGAGTCTCACTCTGTCGCCCAGCCTCGGCCTGCTGAGCTCCGGTGATCCTTCCGCCTCAACCTTCCAAGTAGCCGGAATTACAGGCATGCGCTACCATGCCTGGCTGATTTTTTGATGTATTGTAGAGATGAGGTCTCGGTGCCCAGGCGGGTCTCGAACCCGCGGGCTCAGGCAATCCACTCACCTCAGCCTCCCAAAGGCGTGGGATTGCAGGCTGAGCCACCGAGCCTGGCTTAATTTTTGGATTTATTGTAGAGATGAGGTCTCACAAATTGCCCAGGCGGGTCTTGGACCCCTGGGCTCAGGCACTCCCCTTGCCTCTGCCTCACAAAGTGCTGGGATTACAGGCGTGAGCGACTGTGCCCAGCTTAATTTTTAAAGCCTTCCCCAATTGTTGGCTATTTAGGTTGGCTCAGCTTTTCACCGTTATCAACAACAAACATTCTAATACATGTACTTCTTGCACATCTCTGATCGTTTTCTTAGGAGAGAGTTCTAGAAGTGAAAGATGTATTCAGACCAGTTGCCTTGGTTGCCTGTATGACTGCCTGAGTGACTGAAGAGCATGCGTGTCTCAAGGCATGTTGCTTCCATAGCATTGATTGGATTTTGGGATGCGTTGTTAGAAGGGGGGGCACGTGGAAAAGGGGGGCAGCCCAGGTGAGGATGAAGAGAAGAGTCAGCAGGGGCTTGTCCTAGGGTGGTAAATGCAGGTGTGTGTGTGAGCATGTACGTGTGCACGTGTGGGCGCGTTTAAGTGAGGTCTTGGCTGACTGTTGGGCCAAGGTTTGGACTTGATCCAGGAGGTGGTGGGGAGCCCCAAAGGTCTCCAGGTGAGGGAGGAGTGCCTTTGACACTGTGCTGTGGCTTGTGGGTTGGAGACAGCATAGAGGCAAGATTGAAGGAGGTGGATTTGGAGGTGACAGCCCTGGCGAGAGGGGCCCGCGTGGCAGCTAGGCAGGGCACTGAGAGGCGTGTGCTCCGGTCAGAGGGTTATGGAGGTTGGATCCACCAGATATGGCACCTGTTGGGTGTGCTGCCAGAGGGTGGAGGCTGGAGGCCCGAGAGGGGCAGCTTGGGCAACTGAAAATGGAGGGTATGACCCCTCTGTCTTTTCCTATGGGGAGAGGCCACAGCCTTGGTCTGGGTCCCTGGGCATTTGACCTAGCGTGGCCTGGGGCTGTGCCCAGGTGGGGAGGTCAGCCTGCCTGGTGGGGAGGATGATGACTTAGCAGGAGTCACGCAGACCACAGGTAGGAGTTGGGCTTTGGCTGTGCATGCACACCAAGTGTCTCCAGTCTGGTCTGACTGTGCTGGCCAGGCCTCGTGGTGGCTGGGGACGGCCCCACCCATGTGGGAAGGCTTCTGGGCAACAGCGGGAGTGAAGGAGGGAGGCTGTGGCTTCCCTCTTGGGGTCTCTCCCAGCCACAGCTGAGGCACACTGTGGGCTTGTTGGCAAGGGGTCGTGTAACTCCAGACCCTGGGTCCCCCACAGCCTGTGGAAGCTACCGATGACGCCTTTTGGGACCAGTTCTGGGCAGACACAGCCACCTCCGTGCAGGATGTGTTTGCACTGGTCCCGGCAGCAGAGATTCGGGCCGTGCGGGAAGAGTCGCCTTCCAACCTGGCCACCCTGTGCTACAAGGTGAGGACTCCCCGGCCCTCGCTTTCACTCCCGGCTGAGCCAGACTCCGCCCTCCTGAGGCAACCCACCATGGCACAGCCCACAGTGGGAGAGGGCAGACACCCAGGACATCCCACTCCTGGGTCTGGACAGTCCTGACGCTCACCCGGTTCTTCCCCTCCCCCACGGAAGTGACCATGGCAGCCGTCATTCGCGAGGGCTTCTCTGGGCCGCACCTTGTTGAGCATTTTCCATGGATCAGCTCGTGCAGCTCCCCCTGTGAGGTGGGCACTTTCAGTGTTGCCATTTTGCAGATTGGGAAACTGAGGCTGAGACAGGTGTCATCTCTCAGCAAGGCCTCCGCCCTCCGGCGATGAGCTGGGCTCTGGCTCCCATGATGCTCTATGCTGCTCTGGCTGCCGCTGTCTGGGGAGACGGCCCTGCCGGGTGGCTCCTTCACCTACGGCCCTGCTGCCTCTCCCCCTCTGCAGCTTGCGTGCCCACCCCAGCCCCAAGTGCCAGGGCCCCACACCCCCTTTCCAGCATGCCCCTCTGCCCTGCTGCCCCCACAGGCCGTGGAGAAGCTGGTGCAGGGCGCTGAGAGCGGCTGCCACTCGGAGAAGGAGAGACAGATTGTCCTGAACTGTAGCCGGCTTCTCACCCGTGTCCTGCCCTACATCTTCGAGGACCCCGACTGGAGGGGCTTCTTCTGGTCTACAGTGCCTGGGGCCGGGCGAGGCGGGGTCTGTGGGTCCGGCCAGGCTGGGTGGGAGGTGGAACCGGTGTGCCAGGGAGAGGACCCTCGGGGGCTGGCCACATTCCTCCAAACCTCTCCTGGGATTTGGGAGGTACACGACTGTGCAGGAGGGTGCTGCTGAGGGATGATGGGCAGCGCCGCCTCTCTGGGTCCTCAGTTCCTCCCCCATGGGGGTCTGTGCCCCTATGGCCGGAGAGGGTAGGTTGAGGAGAGAAGCCGAGAGCCAGAGGTGTATCTGGACAGTGGTGGGGACAGGTCCGCTGGGCCTTCTGAAGGCCCGAGAGGGACTGTATGTCCTCTCTCCCCCAGATCCCACCTGCCTTGGGTTTATCTTCAGGCAAGGTGCCGTGGGGTGGGATGCAGTGGTTAGGTTGGGGGACACCATCTGTCCCTCCCAGTCTGTGGGGAGTTGGCTCACTGATCCCAGGCCTAGCTCCCAGCTCCATCTTGGGAGGTTTGGGGTGACCAGAAGCCCACTTCCTCTTCCTTCCATCCTTCAACCTACGGGGGCATGCCTGGGCCCAGTCCCTGTCCCCCCCACCCCTCAAGCCCTAGGGCCACCTCTCCTTGGCCAGCTACCACTGAGGCAGCCTGTGGGCGCCATGTCCCCAGCAGGGAGAGGAGGACGACGAGAATGCCCGTCCCCTGGCCGAGTCCCTGCTCCTGGCTATCGCTGACCTGCTCTTCTGCCCAGACTTCACGGTCCAGAGCCACCGGAGGAGTGCTGTGGTGAGAGGCCTCCAGCCCCCACCTCCAGGCCGGGCGGGCCACCTGAAGCTCCCTTGGGCAGGATGC